CGATTCCCACCAAACAAGAAAAATCCAATATATATATATATATATATATATTCTAATACGGCAGTCAATGTTCTCCGTATATTTTACAGATGAAGTCTAACTAGGTTATATTTATCCCATTCAATTGATGACTAGGATGGAGAAAAACCCCAAACTATTGTATCAATTCGTGAATGCGCAGGCTAAAGTTAAACCAGGTATATCTGCCATAAAGACAGAATCGGGAATGACTGCAAATGCGTTTGAAACAGCTAATGCCCTTGCCACATTTTATGCTTCCGTGTTTTCTCCTGAAGATACCCGCGCTCCTATACAAACTGTGGAGGTACTAACGGACGAAACTTTATCGGACGTGCATATTGATCGGGCTAACATTGTCAAACACCTTCGCGGCTTACAGGTACACACTTCACCTGGTGGGGATGGCGTTACACTGCTTCTGCTTCTGCGCCACTGCGCTGAACCACTTAGCTATCCTTTGGCTAAACTTTTCGCTAGTTCTCTGGAAGAAGGGTTGGTACCAGAGGATTGGAAATGCGGGATAATAGCCCCCATATTCAAAGGAGGTATCAGAACGTGTGCATCTAACTACAGACCTGTCACTCTTCGCCCAGTAATATCAAAATTAATTGAACGAATTATAGCAGAAGCCCTGAAATCGCACCTTGAAATTCACTCCTTGTTGAGCGATAAACAACACGGATTTCGACAGAATCGTTCTTGTTTATCCAATCTCCTCGTGGCACTCGATGACTGGACACGAGCAGTGGATGCGGGAGTTACTGTACATGCCTGTTACTTGGATATATTCAAAGCCTTTGATCGAGTCGATCACAGTATCCTTCTTCGGAAACTTGAAATGTATGGCGTGACGGGAAATCTGTTGAGCTGGCTGAAAGACTATTTGAGTGACCGTTCGGTCCAAGTTCGTGTCGATGGAGCGTTTTTCGATAAAATTGCCGCCACAAGTGGTGTCCCTCAGGGTTCGGTTCTTGGTCCAATTTTGTTCCTGGTATACATGAATGACCTGCCGAAACTTCTGCAGTGCAAAACCGTACTTTTTGCTGATGACATAAAAATCTGGTCTGAAATTCATGGAAAGGCTGATTGTGATGCGCTACAGCAAGATCTGCAAGGAATCGACGAATGGTCCATCCAAAACCGGCTGCCGCTGAATTTCCAGAAATGCAAACTCATAAATCTGGGGAAGAGCTACCACCTCCCATACAAACTGGGTTCCAATGAACTGGAATGGGTGGCTGAGGAAAAAGACCTCGGCGTCTGGATTTCTAGCAACCTGAAGCCGAGTAAACACTGTCTATCAGTATATCGCAAGACCTCGGCACTGCTCGGGATGCTTAGGAGAATATTTTATCGTTTTACGCCTGAAATTCTCCCTATTATCATGAACACATATCTCCGGCCGACAATGGAATACGCGATCCAAGCCTGGTCTCCATGGCTGCAAAAGGATACACAACTGCTAGAGTGTATCTACCACCGCGCGACCAAGCTGGTCATTGGCCTCCGAAACGTTCCCTACAGTGAAAGGCTACGTAAACTGGATTTGTTTGATTTAACTTATCGGCGTATACGAGGAGACCTCATCCTGATGTTCAAGATAATAAACACCCCTAATCACCCTTTAAAACATTTGTTCACAGTTAATTTGGCCCGACAGACCCGACGGAATCCATTGGCCGTTGACATTCCATGTTCCCGCATTAACTGTCGGCGCTACTTTTTTTTCAGTCCGCGTATCCCTCACGTGGAACGAACTACCAACATCTGTTGTGGATTGTGGTAACCTCGAGACTTTCAAACATTCGCTTGACGAATACATAAGATCTCACCCAACTTCCCTCATCAACATTTGAGATGCAGATTACAAACAATAGAACATATATGTCATATCATTCCGTTTATCTGTATACATACACACACACCAATATCCTTTGGTCATTGTAAAGCAAAATGCTTTTTAGACCAATATAACCTTGATTTACCTTGATTTACCTTGACGTACTTCAGCCTTAGTGATCCGGTGATCCCACCAGAATCGGGCAATGCTCCGAAGACATCGGTGGTCAAACACACACAGCTCGTCAAAACATTCTAGTTTAGCCAACTAAGACGAGAATTAGAGCTTTCCTCTTCCAACATTCAGTACCTTTGTTGGACAGCAAAAACTAACAAACTAAACAGACTCTCACAGAGACCCCTTTAAGCAGTCCAACAGACAGAAAGTTTCGCCCGATGGTCCAGTGGCCCATCAAATGGGATCCCGGAATTCCAACTAGTGGCCCGGGTGACGTCTTGCAACCAAAGAGGGAAGAAAAAACTTGGATCATCAGACATTTGAGAAAAACAGGAGCCTCGAAAAATAGGATTCTAGAGACCAAATACAGGGCGCGCACGTTTGCATTCTTCACGTCATCCTCAATATTTTTACTCCATCCACAAGAATAAAATATTTCCGTCTTATTGAGCGAATTTGATAGTTCCAACTTAAGGTGACAAGTTAATATGTAGCATACTGGAGTGCGATGAATCCATCTGAAGTTTTTCGACTCAGTCATCAAAGAGCTAGTTAGATGTGTCTCCTGGAGTGCCCAGGCAAGCTGCTGTATTATATAACGCTGATGAGAACATAACCCAGAAATTCTGTATTGAGACATCAGTTGCACCCGTTCAAACTCAGCCCTACTTGTGCTGAGGAGCAACATCGTTAAAACGGAAAGATTCCTCTGTAACTTGCTCCTAATCACGACAACAGTCACACTTCATTGTGCACCTACTCACATCCAGATATACCGTTCCCTGCATTGTTCCTAATAGGCCAGAAAAATTAAAGGTGTGATTTAATTACTCCGTATAGTAAGTCCTCTTATTGTTGGTGGGTTTGAAATAGGTTTCCTTTTTGCCACCCACGAGGCTTCTACCAGTTTATCATTGGTTTCTCAACACCCTAATGTGTACCCGTGTCCATATATTGCCTTCTACCTGAGTGGACCCAGAAAAATCGTTCTCACGGTTCATATAATCCTACCACCGGCTCAGTCCATTTGGTCTGAACAGCATTCCTAAATTTGTAGCCTGAAAGCCTGCTTCATCTTTCATGTTGCGGTATCCTTGAAAAACTTCTGAGATGCTAAATATGGAATCTGATCGCTGTGTACGACTGGAATATGAGCTCACACAATGTGACAGCTATCATAGAAAGTGATCGGGCCTCTCCAGTGACCTTTAAGTGCTCTGTCGGAACGAATACGGCGCTTTCTCTGCATGGCGAGCATTACTGGTGCCCATTCTCACGACCAACTATCTTCTGTCAATTGACTTTTTCTTTACAAATCTGACTAGTCTGACCTCAACCAACGTCCTCAGATAACTTCTTTACGACGGCACGGACTTTATTGCAGATTCATACCTTAAAGATCCTCCTACTGACCCGTTGCCTTCGTAACCTCAGTCTGTTCGAGAAAACAAAATATCCTCTCATAATTTTGTATGCGGACTCACTACAAATCGCTAGTCGCGTTATCATGCTTGAAGATGTCTATGCAGCCTTGGAAACGGGACCATGGTCATCCTATCTCCTCTAAAACCCTGTATTTAACCGTGCCAATGCAGAAGCAAAGTGGAAATACCTCGTCATACGAGGCCTCACGTTTAGCCCCAAAGACCCAACACAGACCTGGTTCAATTTCACTTCTCCACTAGCACACATACATCAAAAACTGAATGTAGCCAGAGCAACATGTTTTTTTTTCAGGTAGGATCAGACCCTTACCCATCCACTACTTGTCACGTTCGCCTAGGCCATGTCTTTATCCCAGCTTAACCGACTGTCGAAGCAGCTTACAATGAGGTCTGTTTAGTACCGCAGCTCCCTCATTCCGAAAAGGAGAATTGGATGGTTGCATAGCACAAAGCACTTATCCCCGTCGCCTTGCTGTCCTCACCCCACTTCCAAACCTCAACATCTGATTCCGCCTTACTTAGCCTCACCGAATCACCCAGTCAGAAACTGATCGAAGGAACAAGGCTCATGACGCAGTAAAGCGACACAGTCCGAAGGATAGGTGCCCCGTTCCAGACCTCCCAATCTGTCATCCAAGTATGCCGTTAAACAAAAGATATGAACCCATCTATAGTCGCACAGTGGGAGCATCCAGCTTGTTCACCAATCGCAACGGATCGGAATTCCCGCCCTGCGGTCTGAAAACCTCATTTAAGCTTTCTTTCACTGCATTCGTGCAATGGTTGACCCCTATGTAATCTCTCGACCCAGCCACGTATGTCAGCTGCAACCCGGCCGTATTTCCAGGCCCACTAACGGCTCATCATCCTACCTATCAACATAAGCATTCGGCTATCCAAGTCCGACATTTCCCCATCACTCCATCTCTCTCCTTAACACCAACATCCACCAGCCAGTCTACCCCATCTTTAGGCTACTGCTGTATTCGTTATCATATGTATACCACCTCGAACGCCAAAATACCCTAGTGTGCGTAACTTAAGTGTTTGACGTCTTCATTCCGCAATCGAACTGAAAACACAACTCACTACAGCCGAATCCGATGTTGGAAACGGGGCAATTGATCTCCGATATCTGCAACCAATGATTGCAAACAAGACTGCTCGAGATCGGTGGGAATCTCGATACCAATTAACAGGCGTTGGGAGCTTATATTCGGGACATTCATAATAATGGCTTATCACCTCACAGACGTCAACCAAATGTTGGTAAGGACATGTGCTCCTTAGGCGTTTTTCAAACGTTTGGAAAACACGCACAAACAGTGGCCTTGAGTTCGGAACTAGTTAACTTAACTGGTACTTTTAATTGCCTGAGCTAAATATCTAGACCTGCTACATAACGTCGTTACACGTTAAACCACAAATGGAACAAAGTACAATCAGTCAAGGAAAATACTCCTATCTTCAATATCCACCCAAATAAAGCTTACAGTTGCTGTTACGTAGCACGTTCCACTGAAATACAACATAGACCACTGAAATTTAGTGTCTTGACAGTTTGAAAACCTTACCGGATTATGCCTCCCGGTAATTTACCCTCCTTGAATATGACCCTGTCACAAAAAGTTAAATTTTTTAAATCTGCAAAATGCTTTCCCGTTGAAGTATATGCTGATCCTCTGCAAAGATTACGTTCAGATAAAGATCACCCAACGACGACGTAAGCGCTCTCCTTCTAGAGCAACGGAACGCGTCAATCACTGCCACACTTTGCAGTCTATCTTGGCTATGCTGATGCATATTTTTTTCTCGAGGGTATCTTCTGTGCATGTGATTCATATCGATTCATTTTTTGTTCATTGGACGACGGCTTCCATCGACTTATGTGGCACACAGTGGCCTGTCTTCAAACTGAAACAAGAATTTTGCGGTTCAGACTCACATATATGGCAACTACTCACACCGATACATCAGTCTACAGCAGCGCCGTCAAATTTTGTTGGGACCAGGTCACTACCATGCAATCAAGGCTGTTCCAAATATGACAATATAAGGCTAGTGAAATAGCCGTTTACGGCGAAATAATATGTAGTAAAGTAAGGTGATATCTCGAGACATCTTAAATGTAGCAAAATGAAGTGCAGCACTTCCAGTTGAAGCAGATCATCAGAAACGACAGATTCAGCTGGATTCAGCTGAGTCTCTCGTAAAAACCAAATGCTCGTGCAGATAAGAGTATTTTTCAAAATTTGTCCAATTCGGCTTCAAGCAGAACAAAAGGTCGACGGAAATGGGAGAACTGTGCCTAACTGATGAACCCAAGCGGGGAGAAAATATTCGTTCAACAGCCTTTCGGTGCCCAGCTGCCATGCCACCGGAAAGAAGCATGAGGGGTACTGCCAGCTTGCCTAAGCATAGACAGGGTAAATCGAGATGCTGAGGCCGTGTTCGAACCGCGAACCTTCCGGCCAGTAAATTCGCGCTCTAACCACTGAGGTATCTCGCCGTCTGCAAGGGCAAAATCGTTTGTGAGACACCAAAGAGTTTCCAGCAGGTTTATGAGCAGTGCGCTACATTTACGTCCCAACTGTTCCTCGAAGTCGTACATCACCGAACTGGATATGCCGAGGTACTGTTTCTATCAGCAGCTGAATAAGTCGTAATCCAATCACCGATGCTCACGCTGAGTGACCGCAGAAAGGCACTGGCTGGTGGTCACCCAGCTAGAAAGGTCGATGGTAGTCAAATATGGTTAGAAATTGGCACTGTCTGTTTTCAACAATGACTGCCCCTCAAAACGTGATTAACTGTCACTAGTTCGCGGAGGTGGTGTGAAAGCCGAGGTGATTCGACCTTCAAACTGAAATGAGATTCGGTTTGCGTGCAAATTAAACCATTAAGACGCGGCTGTGACACGAGGAACACATATAAGTGTTCGCATACCTGCGACGCATTTGTGTAACAGTTATCCAGTTATCGGATTTAGCAGATGACTGTCCGCTATAGAGCAGTTCTGTAAAGTAACTTCAAGGTAGACTGTTAAATGGAAAATGAGGAGAAGCTGACTTGGGCTGATTAAAAACTTGAAATAGATTCACCTACTCACTTCTCCTGGTAACCAAGAAACGGAAGCCTTAAGCGTCGCACCGTGATCTTGGGGAATGACGGCTCAGGTAAGAGAGCGAAAATGAATACAGTTCTGCAGATGATGTGGTTAGTTCCTAACTTTTAGGCTCAGTTGTTAGAGTTCCACGTGAATTGATTGAATCATGTCGGCTCACACTATTTGCCTCCGTTATTGTACATATCACTGGCAGGAGAAACACATCTGGGGCAATATTAGCCCACAGTTCTGGGTGGTACCGATGGGAGAAAGTGGTCCTTATAAAGAGATTTATATAATTCATGAGGTCACTGAGATGGTGACGAAGAGTCCAGCATTAAGCATATAACTTTGCTTACTTGGCAGATAATAAGTAGCTAAACTGGAACGAGGGGAAATTACGCAAAAAGCAAAGCAGCCGCTCGTTTGTCGGGGAAATCATCCCCGATTTAAAAATCGATTTCATTGCCCTAAATGCGGGCTCTTCATATGGGAAGGAAAATTATGCGTTCTTCCAGTACAGAATATGGTGGGTCATCACTTGCAATGTCACAAAGGTAACTTTATTAGTCAGTGCGAATTTCCAGTACATCTAGAAGCATCAGAGAAGCACACGATGAACAACAACCAATTGCTTGACAAGTTTTTTACGGAACCGGATGATATCTGTCAAGTCTACACAGCCTGAGGATCGGCTGTCTCACACCCGATAAAACCGGTGTCCACGACGTAAAAGTAGCGCTGCTATACACAGTTGCAGCTCACGAGAAAGAGGAATTTTCCTAATGATACTTGAATACTGAAGAGTTGATGTCGACTAGCTTTCCACGCCGGATGTTTTCTTCTCTCTACAGGAGCAAGCGTTTCGATGTTGGCTACAATTTCATCAACGTAATCGTCATCACAATAAATGAGTCACTGGATTTCGTGTGCACCTTTGGGGGCCGGAATCAAAGCACGAATGCATTTTGGTCTGCAGGATGGAAAACGGCCTAAAACCAACCATTTGCTCTACTGTGGTACATGAATTAGTGATTTATAAATGGAAAACCCTCAAATATAGCCTTACGCAATGTTACTATAACGTTAAAGAACGAGGACAATCTAAGCAATAATTTTAACAAACGACAAAGAACTGACTAGAATCGAATGCCGGTGCCACATATCACACGCTCGAAAAGTTTAGCGGACATTCAAAACAGCTTTAGTATTACTCCAGCATATAGCCCAACTGTGGTACCTTGTGCGACAGCGAAACTGGTTCGTGGAATTTCATTCGAACGTGGAAACTGAGAAAATTAGGTTAACTGTAGAATGGATTAACTTCATCCAAGACCAAGGTTGGAAAAAAGCCACCTGAATAATGCCCTATTTCATACGGATGATAATAGTACACTGTGAATCACCCAATTCCAGGTTTTGCAATACTGAAAAAAGAATACTGGATGGATCTCAAATGAAGGTGCTGCGCGAAGATCGCCTCAGGTCTCGGTTAGTACGATATTCGAGACATCGCATTCGTTCTTCATGAAGAAAGACTATTCGAAATGTTGCTGAAAACTGCTAGACAGGTCACTACCGGTTTTGCCCTTCTTGAGGCTCATCAGATGGGCACAGTCTTCGAGTCCACCTGAACCCAATTTGTGAGAAATTTGTGAAGCACGCTCATTTACATACTTATCTCTGCGTTACATTCATTTGACGAGTATCACAGACAAAAGATCCAGTCGAGATTGAGTTGAGTATCTCGTTAAAACTACATTGATTGGAAAATGGGCGAATTTGGTGAATTCCATACAGTTTGGTGCTAGAACGATAACCCGGTTAGTTAGATAAGCTCGACCACTTGACTTCCCGATTCAGTCAGAATAGGGTGCAATGGGAATACGTTCAACCTTGCACACCAAGAGCTCGTCGGGTACACTCATTTGTATATCAATTTGGTTGTATCGGGAGACTCAACCGAATGCTAGCTAAATTTATCGTTAATGATGTGATTTCTCAGAAACTTTGTGAGTGAATTTCTTCAAGATAAGTGAAAAAAACTGCTCACTTCACAGCGGTACAGGAAAGTGATGTGTAATTCAGAGAATCAAGTCACTCATGTGAACAAACCAGACAGTATCAGAGGAAACACATTTGTTTCATCTCATATGATCCGTATTCCTAACCGGATCTCACAAAGTATCGTGGAAGCATCTGTCTCTAATACATGTAGGGTTGCTGGATATCCACAACACTGAAAGCCCGCCGTAACATCAAGGCCGAAAGACCTCGAGAAATAATACAAATGAAGATTAAAAACAGCCCAGTCCGTCACAAGGTCATCGAAAGCAAGATTGCCTTCCATCTTTTTTGATAGTAGTATCGTGCGGCGTTTTGCACTATCTTGTTCGTTCTGTGGAACTCTGTGTACATCGACCTATTGGGCTGATTCAACAAGATTCTTGGGTATCAAGCGCGCGGAAATATGTAAACTTGCCTGAAATGTGTACAAAAGGACTACACAGTGGTTGGCATTATCCGTACTGCGAAAAAGACAAATCCAAGTAATAGGAAACTCAAAGTTTCCTTACACCAGAGAGGCTTTTTCATAATGTTGGGTTAACAGTTGATTGATTGGACACTACAATTTGGACTCAAGTTTTCTAGATCTGCAAAAAACGCCAACAGCCTCACGGATAGTCTATTTTTACATCAACAGAAAGT